TTCGAACGAGAAGAGAAACCTTAAAACTTAGTTGGTAGATGGTAATCCTTTCAAAGAATTAAATAATTTCTTAGTCTTTTCTAAAACTATTTTGAGCAGGAATACTTCGGGTCTAAAAGAATTTTCCATAATGCAACCACTAATGTCCGAAGCAATTCAAATAACAATTTTGATTTCTATTACTTTTCGACTTTGGGAAATGCCGCTTGCTTCATGCATACATAATCTATCACAATCTATTACTGTCTTTTCAGATCAACAATAGTGTACTGGCTGACGCAACATTCTAAACACAACAGATCTCCGCTGAACAAAGACGCCGCTGACGCAACATTCTAAACACAACAGATCTCCGCTGAACAAAGACGCCGCTGACGCAACATTAAATACAACAGGTCTCCGCTGAACAAAGACGCCGCTGACGCAACATTCTAAACACAACAGATCTCCGCTGAACAAAGACACCGCTGACGCAACATTCTAACACAACAGATCTCCGCTGAACAAAGACGCCGCTGACGCAACATTATAAACACAACAGATCTCCGCTGAACAAAGACGCCACTGACGCAACATTTTAAACACAACAGATCTCCGCTGAACAAAGACGCCGCTGACGCAACATTCTAAACACAACAGATCTGCGCTGAACAAAGACGCCGCTGACGCAACATTCTAAACACAACAGATCTCCGCTGAACAAAGACTCCGCTGACGCAACATTCTAAACACAACAGATCTCCGCTGAACAAAGACGCCGCTGACGCAACATTCTAAAAACAACAGATCTCCGCTGAACAAAGACGCCGCTGACGCAACAATCTAAACACAACAGATCTCCGCGAAACAAAGACGCCGCTGCACAGAAAACATTCTTATTGCATCCAGCTTTAGTGAAAATGTTCACAACAATTATGCCGGACCAGACCTCACCATCATTCACTATAAATGACAGACTACGAAGTTTATTGAATGATTGTTTCATTTATTATTATTATAAACAAGATCTTTTTCTTAGTTATCCCCGTCGAGGAATGATCGATGTTCACTAAGAAAGGAGTGGTAAACTTTGTGGTATGGTCTGTTCTACTTAAAATAAGTACAACGACATCAATGAAGGGTTTAAAAAACTGTGTAAAAGGAATGGAAGGATACAACTGTATGTCACATGTTTGGGTACGATATTATGTGTAACAAATTTGCGAGCGGGATGGAACTTCTATTCAGTACCATCTTGCTGCTGCAATAAACGGCTTGAGTTCAGTAGTTCTGGACACGCAGTCAGAATCTTTGCAAGCCAAGGGTAATAGATCCATTTTTTGTTGCATGTACCCTTGACACATGTAACTAGTGAAAAAAAACGTATGTCATTTTCTATCTGATTGGATGCAGCTGAGAAAAGATCCAACCAGATTGTTTGTTATATTTGCTTAGGAAGATAGTTTGGAATAATCGAAGCGAAACATAGGCTTATGTTCTATGTAAACCTTTCATAGCCATGTATCTGTTGCAAAATTTAAGGATGCTGACATTTGTATAGTCTTCATATTAAAAAGCTAACAGATTAGGTAACGAGCTTTCTGATTGGTCAATAGATTTAAGGGCACAGGTTCAAAACATTATTTCAGCTAGTTAATATGTCAAGGATCGATGTGGAACGAAGTGTCTCGACGACCCTTGACTAGTAAATACACCTAGTAAACTGATACAGAACTTTCAATTTTATCTCTGACATCTCTGTCGCAGTAAATACGGATTGCTGCCACGTCTTCGACGGCATCCTTGATACAGCATCGACCCAATGTAAATATTGACAGAAATATATTTGTTTTGTATGCCCATGTTTCAATTGTGCAATGCAGGCCAGAATTATATTAATTCTGTACGGCGATTCGGTGTTTAATTTTCTCGGTTTAAAGTAGACAGGTCATTAATAATAATAATAATAATAATAATAATAATAATAATAATAATAATAATAATAATAATAATAATAATCGCTCTATATCGTATGTGATCAAATGTGCTAAAATTGAAATTATTTTAATATATCTATCTCGATACCGCGACGGCATGTATAAGCAACTCAGTAAAATATCGTAAATATTGTCAGTGATGACAAACGTGTCTGAACACCAAATTCAAATTAAAACCTTAAATAATCATATATGAAGATATAAGGCCGTTAAATTGAAAACAACTTAAAATGTATTACATTTTAACATATAGTCTTTAAAGAAATGCTGCAATAAAACGGGTTTCTATCCATATAGTCATAAATACAATTGAAGAAGAAATTTCAAAATAGTCAAAATGCATGTCAATGATGGTTTAAATGTAATTGTTTGTTAATTCAAATTCAGATTCAAATATTGGCGTTAAAATTTGAAGAAGAAAAAAAAATATCCCAAAGATATTACAGAAAGTGGGAATATTTAATCCTATTCAGTAATTAGTCGATAAGTGTATTAATCTATACGGCTGTATTTATTTCAGGTGGTACTATGTAACAAAGTCAGTTTTATCCGCGATGCTTTAGCGTTAGGCCGATAAATCAGTCCTTCACCCGTGATGATATGATTTTCGGGTGAGGGGTGATAATCTGCAATTATTTACATCCAAATTTGGCTGCGCACATCTAGTGTACATTTTATACACTTACCGGTGTTTCTCGTGGCCGAGCAGCTACCGTCGGCTGAAGGCTTCTTTTGTACCATGTACATAACATTTCCGGATCAAATCCTTTGTTTGTTGACTTTTATATCCACCTGGAAAGTGTACGCAGGTATGTTCCGAAAATATTTGCATTAAGCAAAATTGCACATTTCAATGGACAGGTCACATCAGACCCACATATCGTCTTTCAGTATCTACAAAAATTTGGGGTTTGATTTATCGGACAACTTTAGCTGAGGACAAAATAATAATAATAATAATAATAATAATAATAATAATAATAATAATAATAATAATAATAATAATAATAATAAAATAATAATAACTTTGCAAGTGCATAAGCACCGATAAACGTCAGCAATTATGACAACAGACATGATATCACTGTTATTTCTATTGTAACATGCGGGAGAATAAATATTGCGCCCCTAAAGATATAGCTGGTAGGGACATTACGTCACAATAGTATAAAAAGTTCTAGCGACATATCAATTTTATTTCCGGAAATTCTGACGCCCAACCAATCTGAAAAAAAAGTTATATATGATATATTTTCGATTACGAGTAATCACTTCTTTATTGTAAAGCTTTTTTTATGTGATGGCTACCTCATTATTGATCATAATTCCATATTGTATATACACCTCTATTTATTTATATATTTGTGATAAAACTTGTTAGCAATGGTTCTGCACTGGCATATTTTCTTTTTGCAAGGTTTATCATGTATTGAACGGTATAATGTATGCTATGATACCCATCTATTTGTTTTCATAAATTTATTCAATTCACTGCACTTATGCTTTTCCTAGAAATCATACTCAAGTCCTCATTAAATTTTTTTCAAACTCTTTCGCTTGCTATTTCTTCATATTTTTCACATTTTATCCTGGCCGACCAGTCATAATACTAATCTCTTAACGCTGAGCACCTAAAGAGGAAACTGTTGGTACTTTTTTTTAAAAAGTCTTTTGTGTGACTCGACTGTGGTTAGAAACCGCGACCTCCCGCATCCGAGGCGGAGACTAAAAACTAGGCCACCGGAACGGTCCATCATGCCCGGGCTGTGTTAATTGGTGGAGGTTTATAGCGTTGTTCACTCAACCCAACCCCTCCTTCATTACTTGTATACGAATTTCCGTCTATCTCATAGTTAACAAAATTTCGCTCAGTAACTTATCAACCTTTAATGAATTTAAAAGCCAAATTTAGTATGGGTTCAGACATTAGAAAAAAAAAAGAAATTGCTCAAGTCTGATTTACACCATTCCTCTGAAAAGCTGAACGAGTTGTGATCACTTTTTGACTTTGGAATTTACATTGATATTTGTAGCCAGAATTGCTAGTTATATTTTGTAGGATCATCCATTGCCTCGACACACATTACCAATATATTTTCTTACATCTAAAAATAAATTTCTATACCACATACAATTTTGATCGCGTAAGCGAAGCAGATGCGATCATTTTTAACTCTTGTATAATTTCCTTTAAATTGTTAAAACCAGGTTTCTATTTACGGTGGCAAGGAGATCCACCAGTGATATAACTGGTAGAACAATGCATAACAAACATTTCTACAAAAAACTAGATAGAAATAGCGTAATATTTTTGATTTAGTTTTTCAAACAGATTTTTCGCTCTGTTAAGTATGGACGCCAGTAGTTAGTTGGAAGGAAACATAAATAGTACACGCAGGGCCGACAAGTGGAGGGGGGAGCAACCGGGGATATATCCCTGGTGCCAGGGCCCATAAGAAATTGATTGAACAAGAATTAGGAGTTGCCCGTGTGTTTCTTACCCCAGGGCCCGTGATAACTCTCTACGGCCCTGAGTACACGTCGCTTGAGATTTGCCAAGAAAAATAGTTAAATGTGACCAATTTATATAACAATTGTGGTTTAGAATGATTTAAGGATCACCCTGAATTAGGTTATATAATAACAGCGCACTGCGACAATTTATTTGGCAGCAAGGCTGAACCATTTTTTTCCCGAGGTTAACCTGTGAACAACAAAGTCATTAGTGAAATAAAGAAAGTTAAGTCAGTGAGAGAAACTGTCACGTGAGATGGTTTTGGTGTCAGAAACACCGAGGCTTTGAATTTTGATTTTTTAAAATGTAGCTTTAACAATTTTTCAATTATATCGCTAAGATGTTGCAGTGTTACGGTTAATAATGACGTCTAGCACTGGATCATCATGTCGCATGATGTCCCACCCAGTCACATTATCCTGACAACATGTCGATCAGTCCCAGCACTAACCCTTTCATGCTGAGCGACAAGCGAGGCAGCTGTTAGTAAAATTTGTATGTCTTTTGCATGACCCGGCTGGGGTTCAAACCCACGACCTTCCGCATTCGAGATGGACGCTCTAACTACTAGACTACCGGAGCGGTTAAATACCGATACAAATTTCCATGAACATAACATAACTGCTGGAAATGTTTGTTTGACACAGTTTCACAAGTATGAGAAAACGAGGCCACCGTAATCTACATTACCCTAGGGTGATTCAGAATGATGTACTGAACACTTATATTTCACGCCGATTCTTTGCGATTTTTTTTCTTCAAAAACGTGTGTGTGTGTGTGTGTGTGATTTAGATTTTTAACGTAGCTTTTTTAGTCTTATCGCTACGATGTCTGCAGTGTGACAGTTAATAGTGATGTCTAGCACTGCGGCATCATTCAGCAGACATGTCATGATGTCCTACCCTGTCACATTATCCTGACAACAGGCCAACCAGTTCTAATACTATGCTGAACGCCTAGCAAGGCAGCTATTAGTACAATTTTAAAAAAAGTTTTTGGTATAACTCCCGCATCTGAGGTGGACGCTGCAACCACCAGGTCGTTGGAGCGGTATAAAGAACTTTTATACTGGAGGTAATCGTGAATAACTTAATTCATCAGTTTAAGTACGAAAATCCCAACCAAGTTCAACGAACACTATCAACTGAGATTTGCCAATAAGACAAAACTTTAATAATGAGATTAGCCCATCAATATCATTAATTAATACAATTTGAGAAAAGTAAGCTACTATCACGCGTATTCCTCTGAGGTGGTTCAGATTGATGCTTAAAAAAGGAGAAAATCCTGATTAAGTTGCATGTACATACAGTGCAAACAGGCGTACGATTTGCCTGGAACATCAAACTTTAACAAGTGGGCTAACTCGTAATCACTCAATCGTTTGTGCAACAAAAGGTTAGTGGCATTGATCGTGAAGAATGGTGTGACGATTAATTCAATAAGTCCGTGTAGAACTAGAGCATGAAGCTGGTAAAAAGGGCAGTAATATAAAACTCCTATAATATATAGGCAACGTCAGCAAAAGCTGTCGACGTCAGAGTGGGATGGGTTAACAGCGAACGATGTCTTTTACTTGGAACAGGCGGATAAACTCATTACTACAGACTTTGGTCAAAACAGTTCTAGTGGTCATCTTGGAGATTCCAAAAAAGTTTTCCGCATGGTTGATAAGGAAGACAAAAAGATGCTAAGAAAGCCACAAAAAACCCAAATATGACCTTTGTATAAAGCATGTAAATAATTTCTTTCAAATGTCGATAACTTCCAGATTGAGAGGAGGGTTGGGAAAATTTGATTATCTTCTACAATAAAACGCTCGGCTAATGAATTTAACAGTAATAAAAAATACCATAAAAGCAAACTTTTAAGATCAAATAGTGACGGAATCCCAAGCACGTTTATGGTTGCTCACACCTGGTCATCATCTGCCTACAAACCTAATGCACTAGCAGTAGGCAAAGAAATCTGGGTTAGTAGTATACTTGTAAAAGAAATGTCTTCAACATGACCTAAAATAGTTCAAATGATTTCTTATTGTCTTTTTGATCAATTTTTGACGGCACTCTAGCATCATACATCTAGCATTGACAGGCTTGTAACAGGATGATTCTTATTTAAATTTATCAAATTCTATTGAGTAGCTTTATACGAGGTAAACGGGTTTATATTTTATTTCTGCTGATAATGGCAGCCATTTATGAAAGCCAGTATGCATCATCTGTACAGATCTGCAATCCATTTATGCCCGAATGCTATAATTGGGAATATTTTGCTAAAAGATTTTATAGTTTCAGTAACGACTGCCATTTTTTTTGGGGTGGGGAAATCGTCATCTTATACACCAATTTTTGATATTTTTTTTTAAAAAAAGCCATTTTTGCAAGGTTGATTACTAATCATTTAGTTGAATTCTGTTGAGCAATTTATGTAAGACAAGTTATATAGAGGTTTTTCTATTTTTCAGTAAAATTGGCATTATCTGACAGCAGATAGCTATAATTTGAATAAATTTGAAATATCTTTATGTCAGGATGCTTCCTTAACAATTTATTAAATTCTGAACAGCAGTATTTGAAAAGTAGTTTATTTAATATGATTTTATCTTATTAACGGCGCTCTTACTATATATATGACGGATAGGCATCAACCGAACAAAAATAAACTACCATGATGCCAGCAGCTCATATGCACATTAAACAATAGATGGGAGATGCACGAAAATGCAATTAGGAATAGAAGATGCAAGTCGGACTAAACACTACACCTTAAGCTCAATGAACCATACGACCAGATAATCTAAATGTACACTACGGAATTATGTCTGGAAAGTATGGATACGTCAATCTGATTTGCATTACTGACATGTTCCATTTAGAGAAATATAGAACCTTCCCAGAGCAAGCTATTCGTGAAATTTTGTTGAAAGACGATGATGCTGAACAAATATTTAGTTATGTCCTTCCCAACTGTTGGAGAAACCTTTTACCGCATACGCTATAAAATCTTTCTTTCTTGTCCACCCACAAAGTTTGCTGAAGGCATGTAGTTTGCAAATAATTTACAGAAACTACTTTCTTCATCTATGACATTTTGGTCCCAAAATCTACTGGATTCTCAAATTGTCCATTTTTAGCTTAAAGATCTATCTTGTACGTCACAAAATGGTGAAAAGTGTGCTATGGTTTTCAAACTAGAGTTTCTTTTTCAAAAGTTTGCTCTGCTACAAAAATTTGGAAAATGGGAACCAAAAGGTGAAAATACACATACACTACCTGTAGGCGTAGCATATGACCAGAGGATAAATGTATGAATCCGCTCCATTTTTCATTATCTAAAACAAAATTCTGCATTAATGAATTTCAAAAACTAACGTGAAGATTTGGCAGAAAGTATATATCGAAATAAAGGGCTTGTATTCTGAATTCGTCTGGACAAGGTCATGTCCAGTCTTTAAGGACAACTTTCAGATTTCATGCTATTTGAGGACTTTCCAAAGATTTTTTTCTGAGAATAAAAATCCATTTTAAGGTACAATACAGGCATCATTAGTAAAGAGTAAAAAAAACCACAGAAAGCTTTCAAATGATGTGATATTTTTTAAAATTTGGAATTCTTACACAAATGATTGCATACAGCAGGCTGACATCTAGACGGATAGCTGTAGTCAAAAATACATACACATACATTTAAAATGCATCAACATCAACAAAAGAAATAAATACCATATTCATTTTTATACCATCCAAGTCTCAACAGTAAACAATAATGAACTCGAACCTGCCATTTAACTGAAATGAATGAACATGTCTGGTCAGGATTTCACCAACAGAACTTAAGTCAAGACGTACACTGTAGTTTATAATCAAGTAATCTCACTGGTTAAAATGCAAGTTTAACTCAAAATTAACAAACCAAACAGCACAAGTCTGGACTTAACTTCACAACTTGTATTGGTGAAATAAAAGTCTGGTCTAGAGATCCTAAAACTTTCAGCTTGAATTTGAAATGGAGATTTCTTGATCAACCAATCACAATTAATGTTCTGAAGAAATATTATCTGTGATTGGTTATATAGAATCTCAAGCCCAAACTCTGGCCCAAAGTATTTACGATTTCAAGGCTTCTTATAATTTGAAACCCTCTCTATGGCACACTTTGATTATAGTATGGAAACTTGATAAATCCCTCAATTTTGTAGTACACAATATAGCAAACAACTAAGGAGCAGTTAAAAAAAATTTGCACACTGCAGCTAAAATTGATTTTAGAAGCTGTCTGTATCCTAGTGTTTTGTATGGACACTTCATATAATATGATGTTGTAACCTTAGCTCCATGTTTAGATACAATTTTTGTCACATCACATCCCAAACCCGTTTCAAACAGTATACATTTTAAAGATAAAAGTTTAAAATCTCTGGCCCCAATTAAACTGCATGGATTTTAATATGTCAATATTACTCTTCTGAAATGAATAAGGTTCTAAAGAATTTCATTTTCAATTCATGTTTATGAGCCATTATGCTATATAATAGCAAAATTTAGTCAACAGAGCTCATTAAAAGATAATTTTGTAAACATGTTTCGAAGAATGTAGAACACACCATGGATGACTTCATTTAAAGATCATGTTATATACATGTTTCGAACGAAGTATATAGCACAGCATGGGCGACTATTTAAAGATCATGCTGTATAATTGTTTCAAATAAAGTAAAGAATGGGTGACCTCATTTAAAGATAATTTTGTATACACTTTTCTGATGCAATATTGCACACCACGGATGACTTCATTTAAAGATATGGTACAAGTTTTGAATAAAGTATAGCACACTATGGGTGAACCAATTAAAAGATAATTTTATAAACATATTTCAAATAAAGTATAGCACACCATGGGTGTCTTCATTTTAAGATTATGTTGTATAAATGTTTTGAATAAAGTATATATAGCACATCATGGATGACTTCATTTAAACAGCATGTGTATACATGCTTCCAATACAGTACAGTATGCCATGGGTGACCCCATTTAAACATCATATTGTAAACACGTTTCTAATGCAGTATAGCACACCATGGGTGACTTCAATGAAACATAATGTTGTATACACTTTTCTGTTACAGTATAGCACACCATAGGTAACTTCATTTAAAAATCATATTGTAAACACGTTTCTAATGCAGTATAGCATACAATGAATGACTTCATTGGAAACCTCAGCTTTTATTCAAAAGACTTTGTTTGCAACTTAACTCAGAACTTAAATCAGAAGTATCCCTAGAAAACTGGGTACAAATTTAAATCCTACAATTAAGTCTGCACTATTATTTTTGCAAGGTGGATCTTGAAACATTTGCTGTGGAGATTCTGACATAAAAAAAATACCATGAAAAATTTCAGTGTTGTATTACTACTAAGTATTATGAATACCACACTATCTTTCTGCACATAATGACTCAGTATTGTAAACAACAGATGTAATTTTACTCCAGTTTTGTAACTTGCACATGGTTTGATTTTAAAGAACTTCTTTGTTTTTCTTCATTGGTTATCCTTGAAATTTGAAACAGACCTT